TTTTGAAGGTTGGTAGGGGTAAGTAGGCTAAGTGTAAACAGAGACAGGAAGGTGTTGATCATTGTTATCAGTGGCCATCACCGACCTGTAATGCCCGACTCTACTTGCGGTTTTCAGTATCGACGTTCACCATCTCAGCTACGGTCCACGCTTTTGCAGTCCGAGCGACGTCGCGACTGAAGATAGCGAGCAGAATCTCATCGTGCGAGTCAGGCTTTAGCACCTATTCTGCGGCGTCCACGTGAAATGAATCGCCGCACCGCACATTATTCACGCAAAGTTTTGCCTCGTTAGTTTTGCTGAATCCGCTCAAGTAGTCAGATATTGTTAGGAGGACGTAGAATCAACAATTCCAACACGAAAAAGAGCACGGAGACTCCCACCGACGCCGACAACAACGCAATTCAATGGTTTGTTTATGGGCGACGGGGGGTGTCTTGCCCACCATCCTACGCGCATGCGCGGCGCCGGTGGCGTCCGCTAGGGGCGCTCCGGTTGGTTTGTAAACATGAGTTGGTGTATACGGGTAACGTTGCTGTTCACTTTCACCATAGTTCAGCCCACTGCTGCTGAGCGCGAGCTTACTATGACTTCCCACGATGCTTCTATTATGAAGATTTCACGTCAGGAAGATTGTAGGTCTCAGCAAATAACTAAGGGGCTTGTTTTGAGCATGTGCTGTGAATGCCGCACAAAGAATGTCGCCAGTAAATATGCCATCTTAAAGTGTGTGTATGTGTGTGTGTGTGTGTGTGTGTTTTTTTTCTTTACGTCAAAAATGTTAATGTCGAAAAAACACCAAGATTTCGAAATGATGCGCGGAGGATGAAGTATTTCAAGCATCGTGATCATCTACTCAAAGTACAGTAGAGCCCTTTCAAAACCCCATCAAGCAATCTTGGCTGCCGGCATTTCTTGAGCACAAAGCGTGTGTTTGGATCCGAGTCCTCGCCGAACGCCGACGCAGCCCTTGTTTTCAATACACGTTTTCAATGCTTTCGATATGGTGGACTCGGACGATTGATGCAGCCGCTACTAGGTGGCGCGCACTTTTTTAACGGGTCAATGCATCCTTAGCTATGCGCGCGCCTCCTCTGCCTTCGGGTCTTGGCAATAACCACCGGATAGACGTATGCCCATACCGTTCAAGTCCCTGCAAAGTTACTGATTTATTCATTATAGACCATTTTTATGGCCAACGTTACCAGGTGGTGCTCCAGTCTTATTAACATCCCAAAAATCTTCCGGTTCATAAAAGAAAGAAAGAATGATCAAAGCCTAAGAACGAAGAAGCCCGAGATCTGTTTCAAATTTTTCGAATGTTCTCGTAAACCAACCTGCCTCCCCCGAGATGTTAATTTGTAGAGCCGAAGGCTTTTGCTAAATCTCCAACTTTGTAGTACGGAAGTAGCTTGGGTCGCAAGCAGCGATTCATGTTTGTAAACCGTAAAAAGAGTATATACAGTTCGGAAGAACCCCGAGGACGCAATTCAATGTCTGCGAGTGCCAAGCATTTTTCAAGCGACTATAAAAAAAAAAGAATCTAAAACAAAATTTTACTGATCCTTGGAGAAAAGGAAAATAACTCGGAAGTCTGACACAGTCGACCACTTTGCGGCGACTCAACTCGACCAGAAAGAAGGATCGGGTCCATCGAGAATCGGAAGACACGGAGACTACAAGAGCTCGAAGATACGTCAATATCCGGATCCTCGCAGTAGCGGAACCTGCCGAGTAAAGATACAACTTCCACTGCTCACGTTTTCAAATAAAATCCTATTTCCTTTAACATAAAAGGTGCCCTTTATCTATTGCATGCATTTACAACATATTCTTTTATCTCCACCAAGGAACCGCTACACGCGAACATTGCCGACGCACGTCCCCGCACAGTTTAAGAGGAAACTCGCCCCAGATGGCATCGATCCGCGTACACGCGCTCCGATTCATGCCAGCGATATAACTCTCGCAAAATAGAGCCCCTAATAAAAGATGTACTAGGGGAGGGGGAGGGGGTTAAATGGGTCTCTTCAGTTTGAGCGCAGACAGGTTGTTGGCTGGGAACTTGATGCGCGATGAAGTGATGGCTGATGCGCGCGGGCCAGAGGAACGCTCATCACCTTCAGAAAGGGGGGTCCATTTGTTTACAAATGAAAGGTAGATCTTATATATTCAGCAAACATCGAGGCCGTGCAACGCACAAATAAAAATAAGAAAAAGCATATCGCTTACTTTCTTTTTTAGGGGCATGATTTAAGGAGCGAGTATGCGGCGAAAACGCAGCGACTTTTTTCACGACGGCGTTCGCTCTGCGCGTTACGTCAGAACAGTGGCAGTTTTCGCGCCGCGCGCAAAGCGAACGTAACTCCGGGCCAATGTCGATGGTTGTTCGCTGCATATTTGTTCCACGGAGTTCAGCCTTAGAAAGGATCACTTTGGTCCCTTGAAAACGTTAGGTCGTGAAAACAACTGCTGTGAAATGAAATAAGACAGCTGCGTGAATTGCTGAGCGCGGGGAGGAGAAAATATTGTAACGTTTCCTTTCATTTTGATTTTGCTGACAGGCGCATACATTTACAAGTGATCCCTGGTTGTCTGAACTACTCATATTGTTTATTCCTTTAATCAGATCACAGCATCATTGTGTTAAACGTTTCAAGTTGTGTCGACATTTTTTTTAATTATTATTTTACATTACATCAGCTGTTCCTGAAAGAAATCTAACTATTTTTCCCTTCCCCTCCCCCCTCGAAGCGGGACGAGCACTAACCGCATATGAATACATGTACAAGAATGTTCTAATGGTTGAGAGGTTACGCCTCCCTACCCATCGTTACCTATTCACCTTGGTTCAGTAGAGAGGCTTCGAATCTCGACACGAGTGCTCCACGCCAGTTGGACATCGGGTAGACAATTCCGACACGAACAATAGAAAGAGGATTCGAATCGATCCCAGTTGACCGAAATCGAACATGAGAGGTCGGTCGCTGTGCTCCCAGGGCTCAACGGTCGAGGAAGTCATCCCATGACACGAGGGGTCAACGCCCTCTTTTCTTTGACGACGGCTCGTTCTTAATGTCGCACTCTCGCGCCAGTGCATCGCTGAAATAAATAATAATAAAAACATTACACCCACACACACGGCCACATTGCGACGGACAACAACTCGCCCACACAGAGCCGCAGAAAGAACACCCGCCGCCATTCATCCAATCTCCTCACAAGGGAGCGGACAAAATGGAGACAAGGATCCGACCGGAAGTCGGCACGAATATGAAGAGGAAATGAACGCTGTGTGTGTGTGTGTGCCGCAGTTGTCCCGCATATAAGTCGCGGCTTATACGAGAAGAAAATAGCTTGAGACAGCTGGGTCATATGACCTGCAGTCGGGCAGAAAATGAGCTAGACCGTCCTTTCCTTACCTTCGCAGAAACAAAAGGCTTTTATATCTTATCCTCGTAATAGGCATAAACAAAAGGTACGAACGCTGGTTGCCAGCACGTGCCAAAAGTATCGATCTGAAGAACGTTTTGAAAGTTCGCAAACCGTTTATACTATATTCGCCGAGGTGTCAAATATAGACCCTTTCCGCTTACCCTCGCCCCCAACCGCCAAATAGGCGTATCCGGTAGGGGCGACGAAAAAATATTAAAGAGTTTCAAACTGCAAATAGTAAAAAAAGAAAAAAAAAAATAGAGGGGAGACAAAACGAGAATGGGTGACGGTTACGCTTATCTCCTAAATGAATTCTATTGGCGTGGCGAGTCTGGCAACGGCAAAACCACGTTTTCTTTCATATACTGGAAGCGACGATATTTCAAGATGGCGGCGCCCTTGTGAAAAAGTTCTATACCTTGATAAGAACCTTTTGCTTGCTTACGTTTCAGCACTGCCAACCAGACACACACACACACACGCACACACACACACACACACACACACACACAAACACAGCACACACACACACACACACACGCAGAAAACGGGTTTACAAAAAAGCTTGCTGCAAAAATATTGCTCGAGTTGTCGAAAGCAGATTTTTTTTTTGTTCCTTGGATTACAAAAACAAATCTTGTTTGCAGCGTTAGTGGCACCCAGTTAAGGTAAATATCTTGGAGGCTGTGGCTTGTACGAAGAAAACCAAGGATCAGTTAAAAATGCAAAACAACATAATTGGATTCTAGAGTGACCCCTTGTGCTAACAACGAGCGTTAGCAAAAAAAAAAAGAAAAAAAAAGGAGCGAAATCGGTTGGTTATGAATAGACGTTCAAAATATAATAAATAAAAAAAGAGGCATCGCTCTCGTATGTCTTTTCGCACAATGTATACACACTCAAAAATTAAGGAGAAAAAAAAAAGGCGTGCTGTCGGGCTATATCCCTCGCAGCGCTGACACAAATTCGTCACGTTCAGAACCCTTCCTGATGCTGCCCGGCTGAGATGGCTCTTGAAGATTAGGCTCGCTTTGCGAGTCTTGCTTGATAAGAGGCCGGCGCTTTGAGGAACCGTTTGGGAGGAAGAGAGAAGGCAGTTGGAGTTGTTGAGATACCACCGAGCAGGTTAGTGCGGTCGTCAAAACAACGGGCTATTCTCCGTCTAGTCGGCGAGAGGCGCTGAAGAGCAACAACAAAAGGAAAAGACTGAGGCATACGTAGGTTCGGACCGGCGAACCATCTCCAATAATCGCCAATAAGATTTTTTTTTTATGGTTAGAGGTCAATGAATTACGCGTTGAAAAGAAATAAAATTGCACAAAATTGCGATATGGGTTATGGAAATGGAAGCGCCGTACTCAGTGTCCCAGCACAGATTGAATCGCCTTGGCGGAACCCTCTCGAGAATCGAAGTGGTCGTCGTTTTCGAATATCCGTCTTTGAGCATTGGTTGCCTTCCCCCGTGCTTTGACTGCGCGTGCGCGCTCGAGGCTCATGAGACGCCGTAGCATTATGGAAGGTAACGAGTGCGCGCTGGAGGCGGCAAAACTGAAACTCCTCCCTGCCGCTCTCATTTTGCCAGCGACTATAAGTACAAAAGGTAAGACCGTTGGTGTGATACGCGCGTCGACATCAACAACGTGAGACGTGTCGTTTTATGCAAGGATTTTTTTTTTTTCAATCGAAGAAAACGGACGACATCCCTCATTGTGACTGCTTGTAGCTGAGCTAGTTAGTGATTCATGCTTTTCATGACGCCGGCTCAACGTAGGAAGGTACACGAGGAGTTTTTCTTTTTTAAATCTTTTTTGCTTTTCGTGTACCTTCCCACATTTAGCTGGCCTCTTCAGAGACATCCCTCAATCTATCGTCTCGTAGACCAATCATAAAAATTCTACACTCGTGCAACCCTCTTGGTTAAAGTGCGCGCCACAAATAAGCAATCACTACCTCATTTATTCGTTACTAAAACGTGTTTATTCGGCCTCTGTGACCTAATCTTGTCTCGACATGGATCACAAACTTTCTCAGCACGGGCTGTACGGATCGCATACATCTGTCGTCGCGCAGAGGAATTCGCTACAATCAAAATGGTTTGTTGAGAGATGGGCAAACGTCTGTATTGATTCATTTTCAACCGATGAAGTCGCGGAATCCTAGGAATATATCTCAAGCTCCCCGTATGGTCACCGTTTTGGTCCATGCTATGAGCAGTTCCCCCTTGACTTTTGCAGTCTTGCTGAGCCGATCCGAATTTGCGGTGATAAGCTACTTTCTGAAGACATTTATTGTATACACAGGATTTTTATCCACACTCCGGTGAAACAAGCGCTCATCTTTCGCACGACCACCTACATGTTGCGTCGGTGCTTGAGCCACGACGGTATTAAAGAGTACTTTGTCTTTTGTCTTGAAATGCGCCATTGTAAGAGATCCATGGAGATCAGCATAGTTGATGAGCTGATTACATATGCAGTCCCACAGTCACTTATATTGGCAAAGAACGTCTTCAATAAGATGACGCTCCATAGCAATCATTGGCGTGGTTGGTTCCAAAATGGCTTTTCTGAAGCTTCGAATATTTGAAAGCACCGAAATGGCGATTGCTCCGGCAACAGATACCGGTCAGCCAATCGCCTTGCGAAATTTCGGTTGTCTGTATGTTAGTATTTCTTTGTGTCCCGCTAGGAGGCAGCAAAGACAATGGCGCTAGTTTCGGAGGATCCGGTGACTTTAGCATCCGCTCCCTTGACACGAGTCTTGCGAGAAGAACGAGCTCGAGCGCGTGAATTCAGGCAGCGCCTAGATTACCTTCACGCATAGACGTCCAGGCTCGACTGCTGGCATCAGCGCTTGTCCAAACAGAGCATTGCACAGAGTTGTGTGACCTCGGCGCGCCTGTGCCTTCGACCCTGCCGCACACCCCTTCCGAGATGGAGCCATCGGGGTTGTCGTCTTATTCGCGCCGACGGTGCTCCCGCCCTCGTGGCGTGTCAATATGCAAGGCGGTCGTCGGTTCCGCGCTCGATTCCTGGAGATCTGGTGACCTAGCTCTGCTTGGACGAGGGCAGCGGGGGCTATAAGTGCGCTCCTTCGCTAATCGCCGTCCAGTCGGAACCCGAAGCGGCCCTCTGAGCATTTCCTCAATTAGCAAACGGGACGCGTCCGCGAGACGGAATCATGGCGTCGTTACCCAGTGACATTCAGGAATAGTCGTTCGGGAATTAGTTAGGCAAATGAAGAAGCTTGTTCCATCTCTCTTTCTTTCCTGTTTCCCCTCAGAGTCGAGCTGCTGTTAGAAAAAGATCCCTTGGATGGGCCGACCTGCAGCACACGCAAAGTGCCAATCATGATGTGTTAACGGGTAGCAAACAGCGAAGGGACACAGACAGAGTAAAAGGCAGAAAACACACACAGCGCTGTGTCTTCCGTCTTTTACTTTGTTCGTTTTCCTGAGCTGTTTATTACCCGTTCAAATGAGCTACCAACTAGCCCATTCGTCGACGAATGATGTGTTTTTTATTTTATTTAATTGTATCTACTAGTTGCGCTTAAATTCTCCCGAGGGACTTTACATAAGGGTGCCAATCGTTGTAAGGTTTGGCACATGGCACAACGAAATAAATACATAAAAAGTATTAAACATGTTGAAGATATGTATACAGGCCGTAAATGATTGCAAGTGTTTCCAAAAATATTGAAATGACAGTTTTCGTTTTTTTACTATTTGAGTCCGATGGATTGTTACAATTGTTAATAGAAAACTGTAAGGGGAAAAATTGAAAGCTATTGATCCTACGAATAAATCAACCCAGTTTGCAATAGTTATCTAATTGATGGTAGGTGTGAGGTGCGGCTATGCAATTGAGGTTTCTCCGAAATGGAAGGTGCTAGTTATTTAGGAACTTGACCTGCCCGGCGTCAGCGCAGCAGAGACCTCAAGCCCTTTGTACCGTCAGCCCACCTCTGACAAACCTGCGGCAGTAGACCCATCACGCGGGACCGACGGAGACTCGAAAGCAGACGCTGGCCACAGTACCCGTAGTCATGGAGCGGCGGGGTTAGATTCATGCTTCTACTTCCAGTGGCCACTGCAACCTCTCCACGACACAGTCTTCAATCGGGAGAAAAAAAGTAATACCAAACACTTACTCATTATTTTTTCTAGGAAGGCTTATACTATGCGAATGCTCTCATGATCATGATGTGTTATTATAAAATAACCTGTATTCAAACTCGCGTCCTGGGATCCAGCAATGAACTTCACACTGTGCTGATAACCAACAAAATGAAGCCCGCTCCATTTTGCTATGCGTTGTTGCAGCGCAAAGTTATCGCTATTTTAGGTGCTTTCACTCAGGAAAAGTGGGCAGGAGAAGGAACGGCTCTATATTAGGCCAAGAACGCTCACGATATATTCGTGCAATTGATCATAGCGCGATTCGGCCAACCTAAAGAGGAGAAACAAGGAAGAGCCCTAGAAACAAAATCGGGTGGAGCTCTAAAGGAAAAAATTATTAATACAAACTAAAAAAAAAAAAAAGATATTGAAACAAAAGCGAAGATTTTCGGCACAGCTCATCGGTGCCAAACCACAGCTAAGGCTAACCGGTCGGGCCGGCGATAATTTTAATGGCTGTACCCAATATAACCGAAATGACCAATCTGGTCAGCGCCGCGCACTTTTTCCTGTTTTCTATACAATGCGGGAACACGGACAAACACGGCTTGTCCGCCTTCTTTTTATAAAGCGTCGCGCTGCTCGCCTTTCTCCCGAAACAAGTGTCTCGAACCGGGAGCGTTTCCACATCGCAAGATTTCTTGATTTACGACCCAAGACACACACCGACCGTATATTTAGGCCCGCCCCGTGTATCTATGTGCCAACATTCCTTATTGACCCTTTTAAAGAAAATCGACTGCCTCTATAGAAAGCTACAGGAAAGCGCGGCGACTTCGAGACGTTCACTTTTCCTCGTTTATATATATCTATATATATATATATATATATATATATAATGTACGGCGCCAATTCGACAGCGTACATTTCTTCCCGTTTAAACCACTCGACTGCTGTCCGTCCTTGCAAGCGACTGCTGCTTAGGAAAGCAAAACAAAAAGTATTAAAGCCTTAGTGGTCCCCACAGAGCACCCATCAGGCCCCGGTCCCATTCACAACCCTCCCAACTACGAAGCAGCGGAGTGAACATGCACCGCTGAATGAAGACCGCAGGCGAAAAAGGCAGACAGGCAGAACGGGTAGGCCAGGATCGTGCGGCTATTATTAGCCAAGCCGATCCGAAGCCAGCCTTTTCGCCGCCACCGTCTGCGTCGTTCTTATGTGTCGGCGGTTTTGTTTTTGTTTTTCCTTTGTCGCGACCGCGATTTTAGGGGGACGTACGCAGTCATTGAAATAGACAAGACAGAAAACAAGACGTGGCAAAAGTCAGCGACACGACAAACAGGACGAGGCGGTGCGCGCGCGTGCGGTGCTGTGACGATTGACAGAAGCTTGTGCCTTTGTCTGTCATTTGCATGGGCGAACAAGCGTCCCGATTTGGGCGAAATTTGGGACAGCAAGCAAGGCCTCGAGGACTGGCTCCGGACAGAGGCCGAAGTAATCCGGTTTTGTTGATACGCGTGCTTGCTGTCATCTTAGAGTGCGGTTGCGAAGGTCGACTTTGGTGGTCCATGACTTCTAGGATGAAGTATGGTCGGCGGAATCAATAATTTCATTTGCTAATTTTTGACGAGGTGCACGAATAACTTTATTTACTAATATAAAAAAACAGCTGTTCCAAAATAAATATAATAAAACCGCGATGACAAGAAAAATGTAAATAATTAACCTGAACCAAAATATTCCCAGTCATACTGCTCATACATCATAAAAAATGCACGGTGTTTACTGTAGGTTGTTTTCAGATAGAACCTATCTGAAAACAACCTACAGTAAACACCGTGCATTTTTTTTTATGTATGAGCAGTATGACTGGGAATATTTTGGTTCAGGTTAATTTAATAATGTTCGGTGGTCATTTTTTTTTTTAATTTTGACGAAGAAAATATCTTGTTGCTCTTGTATGTTGTTCATAAAAACAAAACCAACTTTGGTTTTGCAAAACGAAAAAAAGTGTATTTGCTGAAAAAACTATTTGGAAGCCTCCCCTCTCAATCCGAGTTGCTTTCTGAGGATTGCGCAAAGTTGGCCATTTCGGGCACCTCCTTCTGAATAACTGCTGCGTCTACGGGATTAAAAATATTTACTGAGAAAACACGCATAAGAAGTCTTGATCCGAAGTATTTACCACGAAGTAGCGACGTTGTTATGTTTCAAAAAAACAATAAAAAATCGCAACCACGGCACATTGCGCAAAAATGCGTAAGATTGGTTCTTTTCTTTAATGCGAAATCATTAAATGTCTTATGGAGCGCAGCCGACGTTGTCTGTAACCGTGAAAAACGGCACCTAAATTCCGGCTGAGCGAAACGAGCAATAAATTCCCATTGGTTGCGAATCTTGCGATGCGCCCTAGTTCTAAGGAACGCCAACCCCACAGAGAAGTCCCCATCCTGGCACTGCGGCCCGCGCGCCGGTAA